GTACAATCATAAGCAGCCAGTATTTATTAGATATTATAAAAACAATAATCATAATTATTACATAATAACTTGAATTTGAAACCTTCTGCCATTATATATTTAAAATTTACTTATATGGTTTTTATACACAATGACCTCCTGAATTAAAATATTACTAATAGCATACCTACAAGATTCAACATTTTTAATCATGAGAGTTAAATATTAACTTTTTTAAACCAATTTTGGTTTCAAATTTAATTAGTTTTGTTCTATTACCTTATGTTTATTAGTTAAACTTTTTTGTAAGTAAAGTAATTGTTTTGAAATATATATACACAAGTAAATGTTAATACGATTTTATATTAGGTACCTTATTTTTCAATGATTCAAGATTAAAATTAAAATAATATGTTATTTTATAAACTATTACAAAAAACTATTTACAATAAATCAACTAAATTCAAAAGTAGATGGTGTACAGATATAAAAATATTGTGACACTGAATTTTTATTAACTGTACATTTTATCAGGTACGTCATGATTTAACATATTCTAGCACTAACATAACTTCAAAGACAAAGAACTGGGTACTTATGTACCTACCTACTCAAATTATTTAATCCACCTTATCTCACTCACCCTCGCATTTATCGTACAAAGGAGAAGGGGTGGGCTCTGTACTAAAACACGAGGTTCCACACAGTATATGTCCTGATGAAATCGTTTACCTAGTTCATTAATTGCCGCACCTAAGTTTTCAGGATGAAATCTAGGCGTGAGTGTAAAAAATAAGTATTCAATGTCATTAGACATCCCAATTTATTATGCAAGTTTAATATATTTTGAATTCCATCCTTGTATGTATTTAGGAGCTTTTTTAAGAGGACGCTACACAGATATTTGTTGTCTCCGTCTTATAAGTGCGTAATATCAAATTTACGCTCAGCCGATCACGTTTAACTCCGTTAGTTTAATAATTTGAGTCAATCGACCTATTATGAAACTTGATGGTAAGAAAATTATCTGTGTTTGTACGTCGTTTTTTTTACGATAATTTAGTTTTTAAGTGAGTTATGAGCAGGGCTCGTAAGTTCATGCCCTAAAAAATGCCTAAATACGTAAGTATGCATTTATGCTAGGCTGGGCAAGTTAATGATTTTTTTTAACTCAGTTAAGTTAAGATGCACCAATAACGAAAAGTTAAAAGTTAATTTAACTATAGGTGAACTCAGTTAAGTTAAAAGTTAATACACACTTTTTATTAAGTTAAAAAAAGTTTATACAACACTAGACTACTTATTTTTCACCAACCCAAAACTAAGTTATAGACTATAGTGTTTATACTTTATACAGTATTTCCATATTAGTTATAGATTCGAATAATTTACATTATTTACAATAAACAATTCACGGTAAATATTTTTTGACATGCCTTGCATTTATGCACTCAAAATTGGCAATTTATGCGTTGAAATGATATGCCTTAAAGAGTTAAAATAATATGCATTTATATGCACTAAATATATAAAATTATGCACTTAAAAAATGTTTACTTAAAAAAATCATAAACAATTTTTGAAGTAACATGAATTATCAATTTATTTTTTTATAGTTATATTTAATTTTTTATGTCACAATTAAAAAAAAATAGATTTTAAATTCTATTCCTGAGTCTCCATGAACTGCGTATAATTTTTGTCTTTGTCAGTAGGTAATTTATCTTACATCTGAAATTTTCGATAAACGATCGCCTTTTTTTTCGTCAAATGTTGATTCTTTCCAAAAAAAAGAATGCATATTGATATAATAATATGAAAAGGAATATCAAAATCATGTAGGTATAATATGCCCGATAAAATAGAAATATGCATAAATATGCCAAATAGGCAAAAAACCTCTAAATATGCAAAAACATGTAAAATAATAAGACTTCACATATTTAACCGTGGTACCTTGAAATGGATTTCTATGTCATCTTCTAGCATTAAATACAACTTAGCAAGATACATGTGCAAATGCCTGAATTTACGAGCTATAATGCTCATAGTCATTGTAAACGGCAACTCGTTCGAGCACAAAATTGTGAACAATGAAAACCAGGTTGTAGTTACAGTTTTGGGTGTCTTAGGTTGGCCCCTCTCCGACACGAGACTTGCTGGTCCATTTCCTCAAAAAATGAGATACCGTTTTCCTCCACTGTCCATTTTCCTCCAAAAAAGGTTGGATTCCATTTTCTTCCAAACTTTTTTTTGGACTAAAATTTTGTTCATTTTATTCCAAGTATTAAAATATTCAGCAGCACCATTATTAGTAAATTGCAAAACGAAGACATTTCTAGGTAATATAAAAAGTAAAATACCTAATTTATTATTCATTTGTTTAATATTTCTTTTTTTTAAACAGGTATTCATTCGTTGTAGAAATCGTGGTTATCACTTACTAGTTATAAACTTAAACTTCTAAACTATAAAAGATACCTAACCTCAAGTCACCACAGTGGTCATGGTATAATATTATATTTTTATCATAATTAAAGGCAGTTTCCTGTGTAGTTGTTAATAACACGTCTTTCGTGGTGATATGGTCCAACCACTGAGATACCTAGTTGTTTTATCTATATAGTATATACGTATACAGTGTGATCATGATTTATGGTAACACTAAATACCTCAGGTGCATGACCTTGTATTGAAACGGGGTATTCGGTAGGTGATAGGGAGTACATAAGTACATATTTTTGGATAAATTTCAAATTTTTAGCTCACTCGGTATGCGCATGCGCAATACAACACACTTTTTTTTAAATGGCAACCCCAGTTTTTTTCTGCAGGTTCGGGTAGATTATTTTTTTTTAAACATTTATTGTATAAAAAGTTTTTTTTTTATTTTCAATACTGACCAAGTTAGAGTAAGTCAAAAATTGGATTTATGCATAATATGGGTTTAATGCAATTTTCATTTATAACCACTGGAAATAATAAAATAAGTGCCAAATAAATGTTTAATGGGGGACGGAGTGGCCGAGTGGACTACCGACTAAGGCGTCGGTTATGCCGCGCACCGTCGCCGGTTCGAACTCAGCTGCGGGCGGCATTTTTCTTCTGGCAGTCTCGGTGTCCGGTCCGATTTGGCTCAAATTTTTTTTAAGATTTTTACGAAAGAAAATTTTAGGAAAATCCTTCGGAAAAAATAGGAAATCTGGATATCGAAAATACAACAATTTAGTCCATTTGTCCTCTAATCTATGTGCATGAGGGATAAGCATACCCTGCACACCTAAAATGAAGCCACTGGTTTAATTGTTTGTGGTTTTGAAATAAAATGTTATAACTTATATTACCTATACATATTTAGTTATTTATTATTTTATGTGCATGTTTATTGCTTACTACCGAGGTTTAAATTTTTTTTCTGACCCTAGCCCCCACAAAAATTATGTACGCCACATTATTATTATAATATTATAATACATAAACTTTTCTTAGTGCACTCACCAATACACGTAATTACTCATTTGTAAAATAGGTATGATTGGTTAACAGTTAAAATAAGATATATTTTCATATTTGAATAAATAATATTTTGTTTTTTTTATTAACATACGAAATAGGTACATGACGTAATAATTCTAAAAGTTATTTATATTAAGTATTTACTATTTATTAATAATTATAAAGATCGTTAGACAAATGTAATATACTAAATACACGTAAACATAATACCTATAGCTTTTAAGTTTTAACAACATTTTATATAAACAATATAATAAATTAATTTAACATATAATTTATTTTGTTAAAATAAAAATAGTTAGTACAATACATGTTACAACTTTAAAATTTGTATCAAATAACATGCAAAAGGTCCGGAAAGGTAAATTTTTTCTGCCATAACGAAATTGACATCGGTTTCAACTGATTTTTCTGTTATAGGGAAACTATAAGTTATACAGAACTTTGCCTAGCTTTGATCACCTGCATGTTTTAACTTTTAGCCATCCAGTAACAGCTTAAACAATAGTATTAATTATTATTATTCATTTACAAATTAATTATCTTATTAATTCTTATCTATTATTAATTAAACTTTATTATAAGTAGCTAATTAATACATAATACATTGAATTAAAAATAAAAATAATACAATTATATTATATTATTATTATATAAATAATAATACAATATAAAAATTTAAAATTTACTGCGGTCCATAATTATTAATTAAATTTGAATATTAGGCGGGATTCACAGCTCAAACGCAAAGGAAATGTTGTTATTTTGTAGTATGGACACCTAAAGGTAAACATACATAAATACATAATCATACCTTAAATTATTTACATTTTTACATTGATGAAAGTATTATAGGCATCTTAATCAATGAAATAATTTTTTTCAGGAATGTTGGTTGATTTAATTGAACGTGATGATTTATTTTGGAAAGGTAAAATGGAAATACCTTTATCAGAATTCTACCTCAACCACATGCTATTAGAAATTATTTCTCCATCATATTCAATTTGAGCTTGGACTTCATAATTTTGTACTTGATTCGACGTGTAGATGTATCATGTATATATAAAACGTGTATATTAAGTGAACTTGTAATAATTTACAAATAAATTTCTTTATTACTTATTAGCAAGTGCAATCTGTATAAAAAGTATTTCCCTTTCGACTAAAAAAAAAAAAATATTGACATTAGATAACTCAAAAAGATATCAAAGCTTTTCACGTAAGTCATGTTGTTGATCAAAAATAATGATTGACGAATGGCTATGGTTATGGTAATGGCTATGGTGCGCGGTTGGAATGAATAATAATATAAAATATTATAATACCTAATAATAATAATAATAATAATAATAATAACAATAATAATAAAATATATAGGCGGATTTACACGCTGCATAGTACTTGTCATTAGTACTTGTCACTCGCACTATTACTATCTACTATTTGTTCACACGTGAATACCCTAGCAGTAGCAAGTAAGTAGTAGCGAACCAAACGTCACGATGGACCGTCGCCTTGTTTTAAAGACAATTTTTAAACATTATTCCAACGTTATAATATCATCATTAATAAAAGAACTTGAAAACGAATCAGAAGAAAAAAAACGATTATGGACAAGAAAATGGTTGCTGAGACGGGATACCCTTGGTAATTCGATTGGAATTTTAAGAGAACTTGCTACTGAAGATCAACTTGAGTATAGAAGTTGTATGAGGATAACACCTGACCAATTTGAATTTCTGTTACAAAAAATATCTCATCTAATACAAAAAGAAGATACAATTATGAGAACTGCAATCCCTGCAAGGATAAAACTGGAATTAACTTTGTCTTTTTTAGCTACGGGTAATAGTTACCGCAGTTTATCACACTTCTTTAGAGTTTCGAAACCAGCAATAAGTTTGTTTGTCCCAGAAGTTCTGGACGCCTTATACGAGTGCTTAAAGGATTATATAAAGGTAAGCATTCAGTATTGAAGAAATTTTTAACTTATTTTATAAAACTAGGATTTTTTTGTATTTTGATAGTAAAATACAAATAACTGAATGTATAATGTTAAAAGAATATAAAATATAAACTCATATATTCAACTTGATTTATGAAATAAAATGTTTGTACTTTGATAATTATGAATAACAAAACAAAATAATATAAGTTAAATTTAAATATAAAATAATTCAAATACTCAACTTGGTTTATAAAAAAAAAATGTTTGTACTTTGATAATTATGAATAACAAAACAAAATAATATAAGTTAAATTTAAATATAAAATAATTCAAATACTCAACTTGGTTTATGAAAAAAAAATGTTTGTACTTTGATAATTATGAATAACAAAACAAAATAATATAAGTTAAATTTAAATATAAAATAATTCAAATACTCAACTTGGTTTATGAAAAAAAAATGTTTGTACTTTGATAATTATGAATAACAAAACAAAATAATAAACTAACAAATCAATAATTATCTTCAAACGCCATAGACAATGCAGTAGATATTAAGTCACGATTTTCAGTTACGGGAGTTTGAGTACTAAACTCACTTGACGATGATGAATTAATAGACCCAGGTGTACTGCAATATTTATAATTCTCAATGGCCATATCACTCAAAATATTCTGAATCCTAGACTGTGCGATCAAAGCTTGGTCATATGGTATAGTTTTTAACTGAGAAGCTACACTTTTACCAAAACAATCGAATTGATTTTCTGGAGGTTCTGGCTTGTCTTCATTTATAATTTCTTGAAGTTTTTTCAATTCACCAATTGCCCGAAAAATCCCCTTTCGATTTGACACATTTTTTTTCTTAAACTGGTTTGATTCATTACTGTTTATTGTTTCTGTTGATATGTCGGGTAAATTAGCAGATTCACTAGTAGAACTCTCATGAGAGATGCAAATGACACATCAGAGTCTTGTTGTTCTGAAGATTGAATGTCAAAATCCTGTGGTTGTTGGGTGAAATCTTCAGTACTTTCCATCTAAAAAAAATAACATAATACAAATAGTAGGTATTTATTTTATGTATAAAAATAGTACATAATTTAATAGGATTAAATAAAAATATAACTAACTAGGCAATAAAGTAGAAATATTAATAAAAAAAAAGGTGGGTAAGTGGATGTCGCTCTGCTGTACTGTAGGTTACAAGTGGGTCACTGTATAATGGATGGTATTAAATTTGAATTCAATGATACAATATCATTGTATAAGAAAAACGATTCTGAGCGAAGACGGTATGTCAGTCTAGGTTTAAGACAAATTATATACATATCTATGGTATTAAAAAAAAAATTGACCTATAATAAATTCCAAATTAATCATATCACATTATCACAATATCCATTAGGTACTTATAACACGTTATACATCAAGATCAATTACAAACCCTGATACTATCATTGATATATAATAGTACACTTTAGAAGTTTCAAGTAGGTACCCACGAATAATATTATATAATCACAACAAAATAACTAGGTTTTTTAATATGTAATTTCGTCCAAATTTGAACATAAAATGACTATAAAAATAAACTGTGATTGTATATTTTTTAGATTTTTCGGTAAGAGAATTAACTACTTACGTAGAATCTTGTTTTAAATTTTCAATCCTTAGCTATAAAAACTGAACATTTTAGAATTTATTAATTACGATGATTAATAATTTTCGAGATTTTGAAAAATTCTGTCAAAATTCGATCTTTAAATGCTTATAAAAAAAAACTGTGCCTATGTATTTTTAATATTTTTCAACTGCTATTGTAACAATATATCAGGAGCCTTGTATTAAATTTTTACACTTTTTGGCCCAACAGATAAAACTTTATTGATATTTGTAGAAAAAAAAACTAAAAAAATTGAAAGCTGTAAATGTCCATAAACAGCTCAAAAAGAGTCAAAATATTTTCAAAATTGTATGGTGTATAGAAAATGCTAATTTAAACATTCAGTGAAATTTTCATGTATCTACAGTTGTTCGTTTTTGAATTGCAACAAAATAAAGAAATCGCTACATGAGTAATCGAGTGAATATCCAATGTTGTAAAAATTTGAATTTCAAACGCTCATAAAAATTTAATTTGGCTGTCCGGTAGAGATTTTTTTATTGATAAAGGTAGATAATCTTATAAGGAATCTTGTGTTTCATTTTCAAATCTAAGATTTAAAAAGAAAAATATTGACGAATTCTTAACTCAAAATAATTTGCTAATTTTCGTGATTTTTCCATATTTTGTGAATTTTTGAACTTTAAATGCTTATAAAAAAAAATTGTGACTAAGGATTTTTAATATTTTTCATCTGCCTTTGAAACAACATATTAGGAGCCTTCTATTAATTTTTCAAGCTTTCGCAACCAACAAATAAAATTTTATTGATATTTTTAGAAAAAAAACTAAAAAAAAATGGAAAATGAAAATGTCCCTAAACAGTTCAAAATAAATCAAAATATTTTGAAAATGTTATCGTGTATAGAAAATGCAAATATAAACAACCACTGAAAATTTCATGTATCTACGGTCATTTGTTTTAAAGTTACACCTAAAACCAAAATCGATTTTTTGGAAAACCGATTTTGCGTAAAAATTCCCGTTTTTAATTAATTTGTATGTTGTTTTTCTTGGCGCTTTTGAAAAGTACTGGGAATTTTAAATTTTGACCTCCCCAATGCACCAACGATATTCACTTTCCAATCGAACAAGATACTGAAGTCGAAAATCGAAGCATTATTTCGACTACTTATCGTGTACACAGACACAAATAAAAATTTAAAAAAAAACACACATCATTGTAAAATCAATACATTCATCGTTTCACTCAGAATCTAAAATAACTTGCATTAAATTACTAAATTTGTAATGTCTATGATAGATTAAAAATTAAAGTGTTCAGAAAACTTAGTAAAAAGTATTTTAGACTTCAGACTTTTTATTATTAAACTATTATAAACAATAAACCTATTTTATATATTGTGAACTATCAATATATATTATATACCTACTGAATTTACAAATACAATTTTCAATTAAAAAATTAAAAAATTAAAATTAATACATTCAAAAATGTGTGAATTATTTAATGCCTCACCAATATATTATATTTTCACTGTCTTAATTGTGGTTTATTTTCTATATTAGTATTGTATATCGGATAACCCACTCCTGTATTCATATATATCTCCACTTAATAATATGTATATATTTAAAACAATACTATATTAAGTAAATACTTTACATAATATGTTCATATTTGATTAAATTATATTTATCCAATACATATTAAACATTTAACAAAATAACATTAAATATTAATTTCAAACATTTGTGAAAGTCTATTGAAACAGTTCAAACAATATTTAATAGGCATTAATACATATTATTTTATAACTGATAAATCATTGCTATTTATTTTCAATTTTTTTTTTATTGTTAATTAAATATATTTATGTTGTGTGAATATACTGTTCAACAGAGCGAGAGCAGTAACCACTTCTGCACCTTTCTACAGTAGTATAATGATATGAAGATTTTGTACTCCCAAGAAAAATTGTTACCACATATATAATAACTACAAAAAGTTAAAAATATAAAACATCAATATTAATTTTATACAACAAGCCAAAATGTTTTGAAAATTCTATCCTGCAAACACGCTTACTAGTAAACGCTTAAATGAATATTAAATGCAATGCTACAAAATGTTATTTATAAAATACAATTTTCAAATAATAAAAAATAATTAATAAACGAAAAACGAATAAAATCAAATACCATAAACATTAAACATTACAATATATATACACACACTAATATATCATTAGTAATAATTAAGTAGTATAAATAAACAATTAACATAGGTACATGTAAAACAAAAAAATGATTACTATGTGTATTACATTAAAGTTTACTGAAATTCTTGACTTATCACCTAAAGCTAAACGAACACCAAGCAACCAGTTGACTCAAGGATGGTTGCAAATCGCATAACCTAACCTAATTTAACCTTTTTACATCAGTATAGTTAATAATACAAAAAATAATGGTAGAATTTAATGAAAAATACAAAATGTCATTGTTAAATAGTTTTAACAAAACAACCATAAATTATTAACTATAGTCGTGCCGGCGACCAAAATCCGTCCTATCTCCACTACTGAACCTTCATAAACGCTGGCCGCCGTCAACTCTGGTCGTCGCCACTTCCACCGGCGGGGCCTGGTCGAGCGTAGTGAGTGGGGGCTTTTACGGGAGTGATTAGGTGGTAGAGTGGGAGAAATTTGGGTACGAAACCGAGGATCTCCATCATTCAAAACAGATATGTTGATTGTAATAGTATTATAGACTTTAATGAATTAAAACATATATAAGTATTATACAATATAAAAACAATAATTCAAAAAAAATATATATAGATGTTAATTGTTACATTAAGTTACATAATATTATAAAATATCGAAAACAATCAAAAACAAGTATTTTGAGTGTTACATTATTATAAGTGTAAATATAAATATGTTTAGTACAAGTATACTACTTAATTAATTTTTAAGCTTGTTTATTTAATTTTTAGTCAATTTATATTATTTATAATATTTTTGAGGGAATGACATATCGATTTTATATTTTGTTATTTGACTTTGTATTCGACTTTCAAAATAAACAAAAAATTTCTGTATATTTGAATTATGTTTAAATAGTTTTGAGATAACATTTAGACAAATTGATATGTTATTCATTCAGAGATATTATTCTATACCTTTTTTTTAATGGGTGATTTTGCTTTTAAAATTACTTAAATGCACAGAAAAAATGATTCTGCGTAAATGTTATTGTCTATGTTGCGCGTGGGCCAGAGAGAAAAAAAAATAGTGCGCTGACATCCTCTTAATGAAAATAAACAAAATAAGCTATACTAATATTAAAAATAAACATTGGCCAAATTTAATTTACTTCTACATTTTTTTTAATTA